ACTACCACGTCCACGCCGTTGTTCCTGGGTAGTGCTAAGAGTAGTAATTTCTATTAATTTCGGCTAAAAATTTCGTCCGCCATCTTGGTCCGCCATCTTGGATCCGCCATTTTGAATTTTGCAAATCTGACTTCAGATTCGTGATCAGCAACTCCAAAAACCCTCGTAAACTTAATTTGGTGCAAATCGGTTGACTAAAATTTTTGTCCGCCATTTTCGTCCGCCATCTTGAAAATTTTAAAACAGCCAAAGTTATATCTGAACGTAAAATTTTCCGCTTTTTCATTTTCCGGTGTCAAAAAGGGGGGTTTCCATTTTAAAAAAACCACTTCCGGTTGAAGTAACCTACTTTCGGTCAAAATCAAAAGTTGAAAGGTACGCCATTTTGGTTCCCCCTTGAAACCCTACAACTTTTATATGAAACTTTTTTCGATTCCTGGCCACACAAACGAGTTATTGGAGGTGATAGATTCAGATGACTCACCCTGTATATATGTGTGTGTGTGTGTATATTATATATATATATATATATATATATATATCAACTCATTTTTGCAGAATTGTTTAATACCCGAAATTGTTTAGTGCCCGGAAATATTTCCACATTTCGGGCACATTTCAGAGATAACGCCTACTACTCTCCCCGCAGCCGCTCCCCGCTCGACAGTTAGATTACGCGTGATATGTTCGACCTCAGGATCATATCATTGATCGTTACATTATTATCAAAATATTTTTTTCCCAAATAATTTTTATTTTTATAAATAAACACATTTTTTATTTGTAACTATATATATACATACATATATATATATATATATATATATATATATATATATATATATATATATATATATATATATATATATATATATATATATATATATATATATATATATATATATATATATATATATATATATATATATATATATATATATATATATATATATATATATATATATATATATATATATATATATATATATATATATATATATATATACATATACATATACATATACATACACGCACCAAATAAAATACATACATAATTTTAGAATATTAAAAACATTTAATCATATATTAACATTGAAATAATAATAAGATTAACAACTTAAATGTAGTTGAATTGAATGAAACCCTTTCCTGTTTATATATGTTCTTTTGGTGCAAGAATTTTGATATGTATCCGATCTACTGCCCCAAACAACAAATTCTATGTTCCCACAAAATGCTCGGAGGAGAGTGTGAGACACCCTGTATGCGTGCGTGCGTGCGTGCGTGCGTGTATTCATAATAATACGATAACAATAACAAAAAGTAAAAATATAAAAATTTTAACAATAGATTCCCACATTACCCATGAGGTACTATTGTTGATGCGTTTTTTTAAGTGATTTCCCCGGTTGGCCTATTCCATTATGAAGATGATGAAATATATGTTGGCTCGACAGGAAAACACAAAATTTTATATAATAAAATATTAGTTTGCTGTTTATTCTCCAGATAATTTCAGTTGCAAGATAATCGAAGCAAAGCATTCTTATTATTAACAAATACACTTTTTTTAAGATATCAATGTTTGAATTTCTGTAACCTCACATGAGAACTTTAACGCTCAATGGAAATATAGTTACAAATAAAAATGTATTTATTTATAAAAATAGAAATTATTGGGGAAGAATAATATTTTGATAATTTAACAGATCGATGATAGGATCTTGAGGCCGAACATCTCACGCGCGATCGGCAGCTTAGCCGTCGAGCGGGGAGCGGCTGCGGGGGGAGTAGTAGGCGTTGCCTCTGAAATCTTCCCGAAATGTGGAAATAATTCCAGGCACTGGTTTAATATATAATCTATTATTTTCAAAGATCACACAAATTGCTTACGCGCAAATTACGCAATTCGGTATGAATGAGAAGGTCGGGAACGTCAGTTTTCAAGCACCGAAGCCAGGAGATATTGTTTTAGACAAGCCATATTCTGAATACACTGCACAACTTATTGACAATGAGGTTCGCGATTTGATTAATAGTGCGCATAAGCGAACGCGAACTCTTCTATCTGAGCATAAAGAAGATGTAATCAAGGTATAAGCGATTTTATTGCCTATTTGAATTGCATTCTTAGAAAATTCTAAACTTGTTGAAGTCTTTTAAAGTTCAGTATATTAAGTGCAAAATTCTATTTTCTTAGTGATGTGACTTAATTTTAGGTTGCCGAGCGATTACTGAAACAGGAAATTTTAAGTAGAGATGACATGATCGAATTACTCGGAGTCCGACCTTTCCGTGAGAAATCCACATACGAGGAATTCGTCGAAGGCACTGGCTCTTTTGAAGAGGACACTACGTTACCGGAGGGGTTAAAGGAATGGAATAAGCCACGAGAGGAAGACTCCGAGGATGGTAACAAAAAAGACAAAGAAGCGGAATCTGACCAGTCTCAAACGAAACCTTCCAAGTTAGCCTCCGATGATAAGCAACAGCCACAGCAACGATTGTAATTGTAATATTTTAGTGTATCAAAATGCTTTGTATGATAGTTGAAAATACACAATTACGATAAGTCAACAATGTATTCAACTACATCAACTGTTATGCATGATAAGATTATCATTTAGCATAATTGTGTTTTCGTATAATAAAATCTGAACGACACTTTCTACGTGATGTAATTCTCGCGTTAAATTTCTTTTAATGTTCATTTACAATTAAGTATTGTAGTGCAGAATGTGTGATTGCTCGCGACTCACTAAACTAATATCTTTTGTTTTATGTAACATTGAAACATCAAATATTTAGTAAAGTTTTTTAAATATGTGATTATATTAAAGACATATTAGTGTTTAATATGATTTTGTATCGTCACTTTTTTTCGCACATTTGTTTAGGCTTAAGATGTCAACATGAGATTATTCGATAAGTAATCTTTGCAGTCGACCTTCGCGTTTGCAATGTTTATTGAGTTTCAAAACGATTGGAACACTTTTTCTTGATATATTTGAAAACACAACCGATAGTCCAATAAGGGAACTTATTTTTTAAAGTCCTTGGCTACCACTTAAATATATACTACCTGGAACGCGCGCTGCCTCTTGAGGCGTGTGAGATGAGAGAGAGGTTCCTTGTTTCCTCTCTTATTCTTGCCTAGTTCATAGTATAGTCGAGAGTTGGGAGAATATGATACAATCCAAGTTAAAAGTTAGAGATAATATGAAAAGCAGTGATCACTGAATGGCAATGATTTAAGCTTATGAACGAAAGTTTAAGATATAAAAAATATAAATATATACTTTGTCATTTATTAGTATTCACTTATCGACTTATTATTAAGAAAAACAAAGCAAAGATGGTTCCTAATTCGGAGATTCAGCTTATATTTAGAAATCAGCCGACTTAGCTTTTAGTTCAGACTGTATTAGACAAAGACAGAGCGCTGTTCTAGATCTACAAGCATGCTTTCTCTCATCCTGCAATACTCAAGAGGTAGCACGCGTTCCAGGTAGTATATATTTCAGTGTTGGCTACTCGTCGCGTCCATATTGATCGATGACGTCAGAAACAAGGAAATGCATATCCAAAATTTCTGTAAAGTACGTTAGAACAAAAAGATATATCCAAAAAATGACGTAATTGATTAATCATATCTTTAAAACGTCCCTAAAATAAATAACATTTTATGCTCTAACAATCAATAAATAACCGTAAAATTAATGTAATAAAATAATGAAGAAATATAATTAATTAAATAGGAAAGTTGCATGTTACGTTAATTTTATTGTCATTAATTAAAGGAAGTCGTTTATTAGTTAGAGGAAAACGAAAGAATTCGGAATATTTTGGAGGTGTGCTTAAGGCTCCTGGCTAGTCACCGCGGTCATATTGGTTAATGACGTCAGAAGCGAGAAATTGCATACTTAAATTGCGTTCGAATTATTGCTAAATAAAGAGATATGTTAACCAAATGACACTTGCAATCAATTCTACATACTCGTAAAATGCTTCGGACAGTGTTCTTTTCCCGAAATAATCTTTACAACACTGTAAAATGTGTGGAAATCGGCTTATTTTGACAGGAGATTAATTGTGAGATTCGGAGTGTGAAATATAATAGAATAAGTACTATTATATTTAAAATATTACAAAAAACACAGTATCTGGACAATTTTTACACTTCCGCAATTGTGTTAGGTAAGCTATGATATGTAAGCTACAGACTACAGTCTGATATATACTAACTACAATAATAACGCCGTAATAACGCCGTGATTTGGACAACAAAATTTAGGTGGCTATTTACACACATATACATACATACATAATTCGTTTTATACATACGATGAGCGAAGTTCTTATTCCTATCAGTGATGACTATATTCCTTTGTCCACAACCTTGCTTTAATCTTTAAGTTGTAACAAATTGACCAACCACGGTCGATTATTTTAAAAATAATCAGATGTGGTTGGTCAATTTCTTACAGCTTAAGAATTAAAGCAAGGTTGTAGACAAGAGCTATCACTACCGTCGACACAAACTTCTCGCCTGACTAGCTAGGAGCCTTAATCGATCGCGTTATTTTATGAATATATTTGGTAGTTATGTGGATGTAAGTGTCAACATATGAATAACTTTTTATTTTGCAAGAATATTGTATACATATGTTTTTTCGTATCTGATGTCATTAAGGAATATTAATATTATTAACATACAGGATGCGCCATTTAAATTGGGACTAATTTTAATTTGAATTTTCCACAAACCTTTACTTTAGCAGTAAGCACTAGCTGGCGCTAAGGTAGGACAGACGCATCAGTAAAACTGTCATATTGTAAAAATAGCCGAATTAGTAAGATCGAGTGCGGAACATCACCAAAGATCGGTGATAATTGAAGGTTCTCACGCTGAGCGGACACTAATCGAGAAAACGAGGTTTTTCGGTTATTTGAAATCGACCGTCTGTCGTGTTGCTCAGAAGTTCGCGGCTTCTGAGAAGTCTCAAAAAGATTCCAGTGATCCGGCAAGAAAGATATATTCACGAGAAAAATGATCAAGGATTTCTGAAGTTGTCCGAAGAGCCCAGAAGTTGATTTCCAAAGGTTCGGGAACATCACTCAGAAAATTGATTTTGATCTTGGGTGTAAGCGATTCCACCATACGAAGAATTTCTTAGGAGAACCTAAGATATACATCTTATGTAATTAAACAACGTAATTTAAAATTAATTCTTCGACAATGTGGACATGTTTTGGTCCAAAGAGTTCTGGTCTCCAAATAGTTCCGACCTAAACCCGTTGGACCATTACGAATGGAGCGTTGTCAACGGAGACAGCAACAAGATCAGACATCCCAACATGGCATCTCTCCAGGCCGCCATTGAGCAGGTATTTGCAGACTTAGACCGGGGTCATTTACAAAGGGCATACTCTCGCTTCAAGTCCATGATTGAGGAGGTGACCGAGGCGACTGGCAGCTATGTTAAGTAAAATGTCACAGAAAAAGTTCCTCAAATAAAATATGAAAGCCATTTTTTGTAAGTTTTACGTATTCATTAATAAACAACTTTTAAAGTAAAACATATTTTTGCCTCAATTTAAATGATGCACCTTGTATAGTTCTAACGCTATTTCGCGTTCGGTGCGGGATAAGCTGCGAATCGGTGTGGTCCGGATTCGAGCAGATGTAAATAATTGTAAAGACAGTGGGATGGATATTAAGATGATGTATATTGTCGATTAGATGGCTATGTACAATGAGTATTTACAGTTTGATTCGACGCCGTTGGTTTAGTGCGCGGGTTTTTGTGTTCGCGCGTGTTGATGTTCGCTACGGCGGAGCTCGTGCTGCGGGGCCGCTGGCGGCCGCGGGACGCGGGCGGTCGCGTGACGCGTCGATTGTGTTGTGCTTGCGGCGCGATGTTGACGCTCGGATCTTTAATTTTGGTCGCGCGAGAAGAGCCGTTACTCGAGGAATAACACGGCTCTGCGTGCGTGATGCGTCGGAGTTTTTGCGGAGCGGTTGTGCGTTACGATACGGTGCCGTGGGGATCGGTTCCCCGGGACGGCGGCGCGGCTTCGCGGCGGTCGACTTTACGAATCCAATAAGTCGACGGAGCGGTAATCAAGGATGTCGACTTTACGAATCTAACAAGTCGACGGAGCGGTATCGAGGGTGTAGGCTTTACAAATCCGACAAGTCTCCACGAGTGTCGACTCTACGAATCCAACGAGTCGACGGAGTGGTAGTCTGTGCGAATCGGAGAAGTCTACGTGGAGGTCGACTTTACGAATCCAATAAGTCGACGGAGCGGTGACGAGGAAGGTCTAGGATGCGGTGTTCTAGGCAGTGGTGTTCGCGAGGTGCTGCTGCTGTCGGAGCCTTAGCTCTGTTTAGCGGAGTGCCTCGGAAGACTGCTCTATTCTCGGTTTTTCGCGCGGTCTTTAATTTTAGCCTGCTCTAGTGTTGTGTTATTCGCGGTCGGTCGGCGGTGTTTACATTAGTTTGTCGCGAGTTCTGTTTTCGTGACGAGTCGTTTCGTATATTTGATTTTAACGTTTTCGCGGTTCCTTCTATCTTTGTATTATGGATGGCTCGTTACATCACCCCCCCCCCCCC